TCGTTTTACACGTAATGAATTCAATTTAGAGTCAAAATCCACTATTGGTGTTGAATTTGCTACTAGAAGTATTCAAGTGGATAATAAAACAATTAAGGCACAAATTTGGGATACAGGTTCTTATCATTTATAATTCATTTATATTGTTAATGTTTAACTTTATTAGTTAATTGACGAATTCCATATATGTTTTTTAGCTGGCCAAGAACGTTATAGAGCAATTACAAGCGCGTATGTAAAGATTATTATTACTATACTATCAATTTTATTAAAAAAAAAACAAATAAATAAATAATTTTATATTATTATTTTTTTCATCCCCAACTCGATAATAATAACAGATATTATCGTGGTGCAGTAGGTGCTTTACTTGTTTATGATATTGCTAAACATGTGACATATGAAAATGTTACTCGTTGGTTAAAAGAATTAAGAGACCATGCTGATAACAATATTGTGATTATGCTTGTTGGAAATAAAAGTGATTTAAGGCATCTTAGAGCAGTTCCAACTGAAGAAGCTAAACAATTTGCTGGTTTGTAATAAATTTAGTTAATTGATGGTTATATGGATGATCATGATGATAATAATAATAATAATAATAATAATATATATATATATAAACAGCTGAAAACAATTTATCATTTATTGAAACGTCTGCCTTGGATGCTAGCAATGTAGAACTTGCCTTCCAAAACATTTTAACAGGTAATTTATGATTTAATTAATTCGATTAATTAATTCAATTAAAACAAAAAAAATTTTTTAATTAACTTATTTCCCCTTGTTTTTAAAAATAAAGAAATATACCGTATTGTATCCAATAAAGCTTTGGAAAACAACAACGGTGATATTGCTAGACCAACTGCCGGTGAAACTATTCAAGTCACCTCAATGCCTGATGATGCTAGTAAAACAACTGGCAAATGTTGTTAAACAATAGATAATAAATGAATAAATAAATTGATGAATTAACGAATACATTAAAATATTTAAGCTAATAATAATTATATTATTATATAATTAATCTTTATCATATATTCCATTTATTCATTCTCGATTTATTTTTATTGTAATGACATATTTATTATTAATTTATTTTTGAAAATAATAGTAGAAAAATTTATTTATTTATTATTCCAATGAAATAAGAAAGTATAATAAGATTTATTATTTAAGATCCCTTTTGTTATTATACATTATATAGATATAATAAATAATAAATAAATAAAACCTTAAGCAACTTAATTGATTGGATTTCTTTATTAACAGATAAAATAATATTATACTCAGCAGTCGAGATAACTTTTGCATAGAGTTATATTTAGACAATTATGATGAAATAATAATATGGGTCTTGTAAGAAAATAACATTGCCTTAGTAAAGATCTCACTGATTATAAGCTATCATCATTCTTATAAAAACATTTATTTTCATATAATGTCATATTATTATTGCCAAAAAAGGAGGAATTTGTATATAAAATTTATACTGAGATATTTGATAATGTTCTGGCAAAGAAATTTTTTTTCACAAGTCAAAAAAAACAAAGGGCTTTCTGGAAATGAAAAAGAATTTGTAGATAATGCAAAAAATAAAAAGAGAAAACCAAAGGAATGTAACCAATGTAAATCAACAAGATACTGTGAAGGTTGCATTAGTTTACAATTACAGAGTCTTTTCACTACTTGGATATCTGGAATAACGTAATTGATGATTTTATTCAACAATGTCAAATGATACCTTTTGAGTAATTTGATGATATAACAAAGTTAGCTGAAGGTGGGATTAATTCAATTTATATTGCTACATGGACAAGATAAAGAATAATTGATTATGATGAAAATAAAAAGGAACTTAGTTATAATGGAAGGAAAGATGTAGTGTTAAAAAGTTTAAATGATTCAAGTGATCCAGAAAAACCATTTTTCGATGAGGTTTAGTTGTCATTTAAAACAATACTGTATTATATAATACTAATTGATTTTATATTATCTTCAGGCAGTGAATTATTCTAAAATTAAAACATCACTGATTGTTCAGTGCTATAGTATAACTGAATTCCCAGATAATGGAAATCATGTAATGGTTAAATTATTTACCAGATGGAAATTTAAGGGATTGTTTACAAAAAAATTATTTAAATCTAACATTGAAAGATAGGATTACAATTATGTGCTGCAATATTGAATACATGAAAAAGATTTAATCCAGTATTAAGAAGATTAATTACAAATTATGACTCTGCTATATTAGAACCATAGTAGCATCACTATGAACGAACACTCAATTTTTTAACCCACATAAAATCTCATAATGACTCTGTTTATTTACATATCTTTATAATTAACACAATATCAAACATTATTATCAATTAATTCTTTATAATAATCATTAGAGATATATTTTGTTATTATCACATTATGTTATTACGCGCTATTTATCTTATAAAATTAGACTAGCCAAAAAGGCAAGGAACATCCTTCAGGATGCATTTTCAAATAAGTAAGAGTTATTACACCCAGAACCAAATAAGTTATTTTTTCAAGAAATAGCCAATGCAAATCATACCCGGAAATTCCAAGAGATCATAATATATTATAAAGGAAAATTTATTTACTCCAATGTTGCTTTTAAAATGCTTGATTTATTAATAAAATTAATTCTTTTTTCGCTTGTGCTTTGTTGATACCTAAAAAGGCAAATGACCGTCATACACGTGATCAAAATGTCTTACTATTACCTGGGGGTGGAGTAAGCGGCTACTATTAAAATGATATTAGCTAATATATGTCAGCGCCCTAAGTGATCTTGATTTTAACTCTCTTCTCTAAATGTTGATTTTAACAAAGGTGAATTAAATTTTTTCATTAATTAAAGTTTATTAATTAGTAATAAGATTATTTATGATTTACTTATAAAAAGGATTGATGATGATTTTTATTGAATTTATTAATTGTTCTTTTATTGATACCAAAGTGAATTTTGCATTTATATCAAATAAACTATCTAACTGTTAAAAAAAAAGTTAGAAATGCGAACCTTGAAAGAGTATGTTATTTGTAATATATAACATTACAAGATGGGTTCAATTCTCCGTTATTGAAATAATGTAAATGAATAAATTGATTTTTTTTTGTTATTCTCAAAAAAGTTGATTCTTCACTAGAATAAATTAATAAATCCAAACTACAATTTAATAATTTATAAAAAAAAAATTTATATAATGTCATTTGAAAGCTTATTATCACCAGGGAGAAGGGATTTATAACCCATGAAGTAGGTGATAAGTATCATATAACATTGATAATGAAGTGAACGATAATGTTTTGGTTAATTCTGATAAAAGATTGTTGTCAAAAAATAAGGAGTTTTCGTAGTTCATAAAGAGATATAATTAGTTTATAAAATTTAAATATGAGTAAAAATAATAAAAGAAAAAAAGAAAGAAGAATAGCCGTCCATCTGAAACTTTAGAAAACATTGCTATAAAATTTGAAGTATCAAAATCACTAGTTAAAAGCACCATCTAAAATGAAAATCTAGTTATTTTCAAACCTAACCATTTCTCATTAATTTGACACCACCATTAAATTTATAATAGGGAGATTTTTCGTTACAGTGTGTTCACTGTAATTATATTGGTGTTAAATTAATTTCTTTTTTCGATTTTTGACTTTGAAATAACTATGCATAATCACGTTCGTGCTTCTTGTTGTTTATTGTGAATCGTATTTTCTTTCTATTTGTTGTATAAATTTGTTGCAATCGTATTTCTTGGTAATTGCTATTGAGCAAAGAAAAAATGATAGATAAATGAAAAATTCACATAATTAACAAAATCTCAATTCACTATTAATTTACCGGCTGATAAATAATGTACAATGATAAAAAATTGTTCTCTTAATTAATTTCATTACTTGGAACGACAAAAAGAAAAATCTAAGTTCTGAAAAGGAAATTTCGTTCTTCCGAATGATAATGATGATGATGATGATGATGATGCATCATTCATTATTACACACACTAGAAAAGGCCAAGTAAGTCGAGATCTTGGAGAACGCAGAGTAAAATTTATTGAAAAAAAATTCTTGACTGGCTGACCATTTAACGGTTAAAAAATTCTAAACGGTGATGTAACTGAAATTCGTGAGCCACCTACTCACCCTGAAGATAGCTTTGTAAGTTCTTCATTTACAAAAGACGAACTGAAATAAATCCCTATGATGCACAAAATGAAGAAGCAAGTGAAGAGATAGATGAGTTCTTAGTGTACATAAATGTATTTGCCAAGGCTAAGTGTTGTCGTTTTTGTACTTATCAACTTAATAATAATAATTTTTTTAGGTAAAATCTAAATAATTCTATTAACAGCATTGAGGAGGCACTCGATACTAGGCTAGTGAAAATTATGAATTCATTTCAAACACGAGTCTTTTCCTGGAAGATTCATGATTGGCGTCAAATGGACAAATTTTTCATCATAATTAACCAACTTTTCAATTACACTACAATATTCTCTAGAGTTCGAATATTAGAGACTAAACCAATTCTTTTGTGCCAAGATATGCCAAGAGTTGGTATAGAATTGATATTAGGTGTATTGTCGATATGGCGTTTGCGGATATTTTCATTAGATAAGTAGAGGCGATGCTTAGGCCTAATATTTACAGTTTTCCTTTATCTGAAATGAGAGTGTGTAGAATAGAAAAGGCTGCATCGCATCTTTTGAAAGAAAGAACGAAACAAGAGCATTAAGTAACTTGACAAATCTTCCAGCCTTATACCAACAGTTCATGGCAATATAAAAGAATATCACAATAAAAAATGCTGCCGAGATTTCAAAGGATTTTTCTTGATAATTATGCTAAAGTACATGGATCACCAAATTCAGAGAGAAATGTAAATTAGCTGTGTCTGTACATTAAGATTTTCTTATGGGCCTTAAAATATGATGCTCTTTCAAATTATGAGTCCAAGAATGTATTCGATACAAAGTTCATAAAGAAGAGGCTAAAAATTTATTAAAGAAATATAAAGAATAACTGGCCAGAAAGAAATTATTATGGTTTGATGGAATTAAGAAATTAAATAGAGGTGAAAAGCATTTGAAGGACAAAATAAAAATAATACAACTATTAGATTTGATCATTGTTATTAGGAAAGTATAAATAAATTTTATGATCCTAGGCACGCATGATATACTAAATTCAAAAATGATATGGTTTTGGACTGATCAAAAAAATCAAATCGAAAGGCAAATGTCGTTATTTTGCATTATTACATATCAATTTACATTTAATTTTTCACCTTAAAAATTTTCTATTATTATAGTGTGTATATACAAGCAATATATATTAATTATATACATGTATATACATGTTTGTATGTATGTGAGTATAAGCAATATATCTCATATACCATGCCTGATATATGTAGAATAAAAAAAATGGTTAAGAAATACAAAATAAATTAAAAATAAAAGTAAGCAATATATTATTGTCATTGATATTATGTCATTGTTATTAAGCAATTAAATTAATCAATTAAAATAATTAATAATCCAATTTTTTTTTACACAAAGGACATTCATCTCTCAACTTAATCGCAGCTAAATAATAATAATAATAGTATGTATATATATAAAATAATTCCTTTAAAAAGTTTTTTTTAATTTCAAAAATATAAAAGTATAATTTACCTGCTACACACGATCTGTGAAAATAATGTCCACGACAAGGAGGAAGTTTGACTGCATGTTGATCAGCAGTAATTGTATTTGGATCTTGAAAACCATCTAAACATATAATACAACTATCTTCTGATGTAACTGTATCATACTCAACGGGTTGTAAAATAGAATTATCGTCTACATACAATTTGTTAATGTTTTATTAATAATTTTTAATATATAATTAGAATTATATTGTAAATATATATTACCACTTGCAACTCTTCTAACCCTTCTTGTTCCTCCACCAACAATATTATACTGTACAAATCTTCCAGTAGAATAATTAAACCTGATTTCATAAGTGTCACGTATTGATGAAAAATATCCTTTTCTTGGTGTTATAACTGTTTTTTTATTTTGGTAAGCTTCTTCTAATTCCGCTGCACATGCCAAATCGTATGGAAGCCATTGATCTGCGTTAGCCCTCCATTCCCACTTTTTAAATAATATATATATATATATATATATATTAATAAAAATTTAAATATAGCAATAATTTACAATTGTTATTGTAATTATGATTAAAATTAATTTCTAGATAGTTAACCTGAACTGGTAAATCTTTAGCATTTGTTCTGGTAAGAAAGCACATTGAACAGGTTAAATCAATTCCCTTCAAAAAAATTATAGGTACTCTTGTTATTATATTATGGATATTAATAAAACTAGAAAATAATGAAAGTAAACTCACTCGGTTAATAAAGGTACATCTTTCGCAAGGCCATTGAGGATTATTAGTTACCGACATTTTTTTTATTATGTTCAATTTGCAAAAAAATTTATTCATTCTGTGGGAAAAAATACCCTCTTAAAATACACTACTACAGCAATTTTATTGGCTAAATTTTGTGCACACAAATAATCTCGAGATAGTAATAATAATAGTAGAGTTAATACGGACGGACTAACCTTCCGGTCATTATCGATCAATTCCTTTTATATCTGAAAACGTCATCGGATGACGCGTCATTTGTAAAAAGTCATGTTATCTGTAAGTGTAAATTTCCCTTAATAAGCTCCACATGAGCCAAGCTAGCTCTTGGCTCACCCAAAAAATTACTGGCTTGAGAGTCAAGCCTATAAATAGCTTGCTTGGCTCATGTGTTGGCTTGGTTCAAGCTAAAGACACCTGCTTTAATTGGTTATTTGCAGCAATGATAACTACCATAGGATAGTTAGTTACCCTTGGTAATTACCATTATAGAATATTTATGACTGCTTGCAATTTTTATTTTTACACATAATTTCACTGTAAAATGACCGGCCAATTGAATTCATCACAAATAATTTTCTCACGACTAATATGACTATGATGCTAATGACAATAATTATTTTAATCTTGAAAACTATTTGCAGCAGCTGTATCTATTTACAACAAATGATAGCTACCAACAGCTATTTACAGCATTTGTCTTTATTTCAAGTCAAACTTGCTTGGCTCATTTCAAGCTGAGTTAGCTTGGCTTGTTTTGTAGCTCAATAATCTCAATTGATAATCACTTTTCTATTTGTGGTAGAAAAAAACTTGCCTACTTCTTTTAGTACTAGTTATTACAAATTTATCTCTCTACTATTGACACTTTTAACACTTTTAACACCATACTATTATGAAAATGAATATTAAGAATAAGGATAATTTATATGTTAATGGGTGTGAATATAAATATTAATATTAATATGATGAATATAATGGCAACAGAAACTATAATGATGATGATGAAAAGGGTGAAAATTAAAATGAAAATGGCAATGGAAACAAAAATGATAATGGAAATGAAAATTAAAATGGTAATGATAATAATACTTCCTCTTCCTCTGCTAAAAATGACTCTCTTGTTTACAATTACTTTACTTTGGAACCATCTGATGATCAGTGGTATTGTCTTAATCACAGGTAATGGTAATATTAATACTTGTTATACTTAAAATATGATACAGTATATTATATTTATATTTTCAAAAAAAACAATGGCTAAGTTTTGCTGATAAAGCAACAACAACATTTTGGTGACATATCCAAAAAACATCATCCAAGAAAAATTAATAAAAGTGGATCTATAGACAAATATTTCAGAAAAAGAGTAATAATTATATATATACATACATGCAATAAATAATTTAATAATGAATTTTTAAATTAATGAATGTGGACATAAAGTCTCACCTAAGCATTAGGAAAAATATATTTCATTGATGCATTTGTTGAACATAAATTGGAAAAGGCCAATTTATCCTCATACTCTCAAGCTCTTTTTAGATTCACATAAAACACACTTGAAGACTCGGCAATATTCCAATCAATGGCATTAAAACATTTAAAACTTGATATTAAAGAATTTTTTAAACAAGTTGAAGAAATAGAGAAAAATTGGTCCAACATTGTTACTTGGTTGGAATGATGGATTATACCGATGCAGGAAAAATCCTTTTTCCTGCACTAAGTTCTATGGATGAGGATCTATCCAAAATATTGCCAAATTCAACAAATGTGCAAGAATCTACGCATTCTCAATATTACATGTGTGGAACTGCCAATCAGTCAATTATCACAGGTATTTATTTTATAAAGAATAATTGATTAACTTAATTGACTAATTGATTATTTATTAACCTTGAACTTATTTCATTTAGGTCTTGAGAACCTTCTTTTGTTTGTAATAGCTTTGGAAGTTGATTATGAAAACAAAAGTAAAGGGCATTCCTTGAAATATAGTCATGATGAACCATGGAAAAAAGTTGCAGAATTATATGGAACAACCACATCATCCAGAGGAAAGAAATCCAAAGGTGCTGGTGTAAATGATCGTAGACCATCAGATACTGCTAAAGCCATTTTAAAAAATAAATCATCTAATGATAATAAAAATTTAGATGTTAGCAATCATAAAAAGAAAAACAAAAAGTAATTGAACTTCCCAATCATATCCACATTGGCGAAACTCATGTTATATTACATCATGCTTGGAATTACTGAATGTGAACCACCTTCATGCAATTCCATGATGGTCAACCAATGTCGGAACAATTACACATGACTCTGGATTAAAAAAATATTATTATCGTTCGCGTTTACTTCGTCGATAATTATTTCGTCGACAATCATTTCGTCGACACCCATTTCGTCGAAAGTTTGTTTCATCGCAAGTTCATTTCGTCGAAAATTATTTCATCCTCGAGCCAGAAACCGAACGAGTTAGATGTGAGGAGTGTGGGAAGTTAGTTAAGAAATTAGGTGAGGAAAGCGGGGTGTGTGGGAAGTGTGAGGAGAAATTTGTTTAATGAAGTTTTTTTTTTGTGACGAAATAATTTTCGACGAAATGAACTTTCGACGAAATGAACATTCGATGAAACAAACTTTCGACGAAATGGGTGTCGACGAAATGAATCAGACCCGTTTCTTTGCCATATACCTTGATATTTAAAATAACCCAAAGAGATGGTGCTAATTATCACTCGTCAGAACAATTAGTTTTCCCTTTTCAGCATTGTTATCAAGAAAATGAGATCACTATAGAATATACATTGACAGCATGTATATACAGCACATCATCAAGTGGACAGCATTTCTACAGTGAAGTAATTCAAAGCTTTGACAACCAAAGTGGTATCCAATGATCCAACCACTCTATCAGGATACAAGCCACAGGCCATATTAGTTCTTATAAATTAAATGATTTTAATAGGCATTCCATTTATTCTGATAGCCGAACAAGTTAGTATTGTTTAAATAGCTTTTAAATTTTAAAAAAAAATTAATTAATAATAATTACTTTCATTGAATTATCCACATGAACTTTTATGGAAAAATTAAATAATCATAATATAAACATTCCTGATGAAAAGATTCATTCAGGGATGGACTGTAAGTAGATTTTATGAAAAAAGCTGGCTGTTTCATCATCAATTGATTAATAATGTTGTATTTTTTCTAGTAATTGCATATTTCACTGATAAAATCCATCAGTATTTTAAAGGAGGTAAAAATGAAGATAAAGAGGAACCCGAAGTTGAAAAAAATAAAATGTAATTATTAATGACTCACTGTAATAGTAATAATGCATTCATTTATTAATATTATTAACAAAATTTCCATATTTTCTTTAGAACCAGGACTATTAAAGCTAACACTGCTGTAGTTCGTCGTAGTAGTAGAATTAAAAATACAAAAAAATAATTATTCTTTCGTTTTTATTACTGTATTATCAAAAATAAATAAAAATTTAAAAAGGATATATGTAGTCGATCCCTGTACCCTGTCCTTTTCTAACGTCCCGATTTTAGAGCGTCAGGTGGATGGCTAAAAAAAGCCATAATTTTTCTCAATATAGTAGAAGATTGAAATTTCAACAAAGCAAATTTCTAGTATTCGTTCTGTTAGAAGTAACATTTTATTATATGAAAGTTCACTAGCGCATCAACGTAATATAGGTGAATATGTAAACTTTGATGTATGACTTTTTAAACCGAAATTTTTTTTTAAAATATATTAACTTCGTCTTATCAAAGATTACTTGATAAAACGAATATTTGGTAAAACGATGTTTTGAGCCCAAAACAAGTACATCGGTTTAACGAGTTCCAACTGTATTCTGCGGTGCATTATTATTATTATAGTATTTTCCGTTTTTTTAAACACACATTCCGTAATTTATGCGGCATTCTGCGCTATTACTATGCAGATAATCATTGTCCTGAATGCCGAATTTCGTATTCAATCAACAGGATGGTCACATAAATTACAAAATAAAATTCCATCATCAATGCGACATTCACCAGGGATTTCTTTTACTCTATTATTGATTGTAACTGTTCTTGTACTTCTTCTATTCATTATAAAAAATTTTGATTATCGTGGTTACACTTATTAAATTCCCTTTTTTTATATATATTATCATTATCTGCAATACTATTTATTATTATTATATAGTACTTTCCGTTTCAAATGCACATTCCGTGATTTCTGCACTATGCAGAAAATCATTTGAAGTGAAAAACAACAAAACAACACCAGTTTTGGTAGCCCTTTCAACATGTTTAATTATTACAACTATAAATAAATAATTATTTGTGTAAGTATAAATTTTTTTCTTTTCTTTGTATAAGTAGGTATACGATCACTAATTAAAATTCACCGAGACTTTTTGAATCGGTTTAAAAAAGTTAGTATTAGTATCATGTGTAACTATTGGATAGATTATTGCCGCAGCTGGGTCAAATCTTATTCTTTAATGGTAACACGAATTAAAGGTTTGATCATTCTTATTGGTCAATTTAACGATCAGCGAAACCACAAGGACAACCGGATTTTTATTTATAGATTACAGTCTACTCTCTCTATAACGAATAAGAATTTGTATTATGAATAGAAGCCCTATATTCATCACAGTGTGGGTCAAACCCTATACATATCAAACCATGATTTTTGTATGTAACCTACCTATCTATAGTTGGCTTGGTCTAAAGGCCTCCTAAAGTTTGGGCAGTCCTATCTTTTAAAAAAATAACTCTATTAGTTGATAGAATATGTATTTAGTTTCAATGTAATAAAGAGATTTTCTCAAAAAAATTCTTTGTTGTATAGTTCTATTCTTTTTTAAAACATGTACTTTACTACAGTGTGTTTCAAAAAAAATGTCACACACAAAAAATTGCATATCTCAACAATTACATAACATAATTAAATAATTTAGATTCATTTGAAAGTTTATCAAATTACCTTCTTAACAATTTTCTATGAAGCTAATTCATATCTTTTTTTTAAACTTTGTCAAAATTTTTGTCTCTGAAATTTTAACATGGAAATTTTTAATAATAAGCCTGACACAAAAATATACATAATAATCATTCAAAAAATTATACCAGTTTGTAATGAAAGTTCTGGAGATTATATATATAAACTTTTGTACTTCAAGATTTTCTAGAATTTTGTCAAATGGAAACAAAAGGAATTTGATTATTTTGAAAAAAACAATTCAATGTGTAAATTTCTTTAATAATTGCTCTAAAGCCTACATAACAATATGCTTCAAAAATTTCATACATTATAATCTAAGATCCTCCAATTCTCTGGTATAATTTTCATTATATAATTTTGGCTACTTTTTCATTAAAAACAATATTTTTACCAACTGCCGTTTTTTTTGAAACATACTGTATCCTCACGAGAAATTTAGTGCTAGTTCATTGCTAAATTTAGACTAGTTTTTGATCATCATCACTAATTTAAACTAATACTCGACCATCATATCTAAATTTGGTGGTAAAGAAAATAATTTTTTAACAAAATCACGTGAAACCTTTTTAAAAATTTTATTGCATTTTTGAACGAATCACGAAATCGCAATTTTTTGAAATTTGGATTCGTGGCGCAGCAATAGGAGTCTAGACTGAGCAGGCCGCCGATAATACATTGAAAATTTATATTAGTATTAGTAATATGTTTTTTATAAGTAAATTTCTATATTAATAATATAATTTATATTAATTAATGAGTGGGGTAATTTGCATGTGAATTTGTAAATGACAGTTTTTATAAAATTAATTGGCGAGTGGCTTAGATGTATGTATGGCAACAAACAAACATTTGAAATCGAGTATTATTTAAAAATATAATAACAAAAAAAGTTATTTATTTATTATTATTATTAGTTCAAGTTTCGGAATATTTAACAGATTTTTAATATTTTTTCTTTAAAAATTAATGGAAGCTAAAAAAATTTTTAATAATAATCACCCTGATCAAATTTTTGATCAAAATGATGATGAATTAAATCTAAATTCTGAAAGAAATTTATTAATTCAATCAACAATAAATCATGATAATGATAACAAGTCAAGAAAATATGCGGAGACACCTTTACCCAAATTACCATTACTTATATTAAGTATAGTGATTATTAGTGAGCCTTTTAATTCAACTATTTTATTACCTTTTATTTATTTCATGGTAATTTTTTTAGAACTCTAAAACTTTTTTGTTCAGAAACAATTAGAAAATAATCAATAATTTTTATTTTCATTAGGTTCGTGATTTTGGTGTAAGTGATGATGATAAAGAAATTGGTTTTTACGCAGGATTAATAGGTAATAGTAACAAAAAAAAAAAAAAAAAAAATCTACATATCACAATCATCTTTAATCATCTAAATATCATCATTATATTCATTCGCCCGTCCATTCTCATTCTGATTAGCATCATCTTTTTTCTTTGCACAATTCTGTTTTTCAATATTTTGGGGTTACATGTCTGATAAATTCGGTAGACGTCCGATCCTTTTATTTGGATTATTTGGAAATATGGTGACTTGCTTTATGTTTGGTCTTAGTAAAAATTTACTTTGGGCTATTGCTTCTCGTTCAACCTGTGGAATGCTAAATGGTAAATGAGATGATGATCTTTTTTTTTTTCATGCACATTTATAAATGACATTACTATATATTGTTTTATAGGTAATATTGGTGTTGCAAAAAGTATGTTGGGTGAACTAACTGATAAAACTAATCAAACAAAAGCGTTTTCATTATTTGGATTTTGCTGGGGAATGGGCTGTATAAGTAACTATTAATTATATCTATATTGTGTGTGTGTATATATATATATATTAATTAATCAACCATTCCTTTTTTTTTTAATTACATTATAGTTGGTAAGATTTTATTAGAAAAAAAATTTTTTTTTTTTTTTTTGGAATTTTCAAAAAGTATTATTAAAAATATTCATTATATAAATTAGGGCCTGTGATTGGTGGGTTCTTATCACATCCTGCTGACAATTTTCCAAAAATATTTGGCAATTGTCCTTTCCTAAAGTCATTTCCATATTTCCTTCCTTGTTTTGTTGCTTCAATTGTTAGTTTTATTGGGTTAATTATTGGATATTTTTATTTACCCGAGACACGATATATGCATGATCATCAAAAAGAAGAAGGAGAAGAAAGATATGTCGATATTGAAGATGTTATTGATATTTCAAGCAGAAAAAATTTGAGTGGAAATAATTCAATAATCTCATATGGAGCTACTGCAAATGTTGATTCTAACAATAGTAATTATAATCAATCACCTAAAGGAAATAATATTATACAATCATACATTGAAGAATATCCATGTTATCCAGAAACATCGTCATCTTCAAATCTACTAAAGGGCTTGTCAAAGAATAATGTCACCGACATCAAAGTCAACAACAAGCAAAGTTTTATTATGAAAAATGGCGAAGAATCAAAATCAAAAGCTAAAGTCAAAATCTCACCAGTTACATATAGGTGTATAGCAAGTTATGCATTGCTTGCATTTCATTCAATAGCATTTGATGAAGTTTACACTTTATATGCAGTTGCAGAAGTTAAAGATGGAGGATTAGGTTATTCGTCAATAAAGCTGGCTCAAAGTTTGGCTTTAATGGGAATTATTCAATTAGTTTCTCAATTTCTGATTTATCCTTGGTTAAGAACTAAAGTAGATTTGATTAAATTATATCGTATAACATCAATATCTTACGTTACTTGTTATTTGTTATTTCCTTTATTGAATCGATTAAAAAAATCATTCATGAATCTACCACTTGAATCAGAGTATGGTGATGATGATGAAATTGTTTGGATTATATTATTGATTGTGTTAATGATTAGATTTTTTTTAAATGTTATCTCTTTTACGTCAATAATAATAATGGTATGATTTATTATTATTTACCATTATAATTGATTAATTAATAATGATTATTCATTTTTAATTTTAATTTTTTCTTTTCGTCCCTCTCTTCCTATAAATATATCGACAGGTTAATAATTCTGCTAGTTCTGAAACACTTGGTACTGTCAATGGAATAGGTCAGACTTCTTCAGCATTTGTTCGTTCTATTGGTCCAGCATCGAGTGGATCTTTATGGTCTTGGTCATTGACAAATAATTTAAGTTTTCCATTCAACGATTATTTTGTATTTATTGTAATGAGTCTCACTGCTCTAATAGGATCAATTCAAAGCTTTACAATACCGCGTGAATTGGGAGAAATATAGTAGAACATATAATTAATTAATTGGACTTTTTCAAAAAACATTTAAGATAATAATTAGAGTATCTGCATAATATAATTTGGGGCAGATTTGCTAATAAAAAAACAAATTGAAAATTTGAATATCAATTAAACTTGGAGTTTGCCTAATTTATTTTCAAAATTCACTAACCAAAATCTACATTTTCCATATCCATAGAATTTACCCTTCAAGTTTATTATACAATTTAAATTTCTTAAAAGAATAATTAACCTCAATATATATATATAAGTGCGTGAGGTTTCCCTGAAAAAATCCTTTCTAAAAATAATTAATAATAAAACGTCATCAAACATTTTTGATAAAGTTGCTTTTATAACCGGTAGCTAACAAGTGACAAAATAAAATTTTGATTTTTACACCAATAGATATAAAGGCGAATGAGGCGTATTGTATAACAAAAGATTAATAATTCCATGTATTGATGTAGGACCTCGGGAAATTATAATTGAGATCATAGGCTCTATCACAAGTGTAAATTGGTTGATATTTTAAATTATCACAAACGTTAAAATCTTCATAACAACAATATGCGATTTTTTAATATAATAGATGATGGAATTGTAACTTCAAAGATAATTGAGATATTCCCAAATTGATTTGATGTGAATTTTTTTAAACACATGACTTAACCATTAAAATAAAATGAATGTTTTTATTAAATTATTACTATTATAAGAAATAGCCATTACAATGCACGTATTAAATAATGCTAAATGCATAAAAAACGTCACATGCAATTATAACAATCACCATCATCATCAATTTTGATCATTACGATCATTGTTATTGCTGCTGACACAAACATGCCATATAATAAAAAATAGCTGATTAAAATAAATAAATAAATAAATAATTGCATAAATTACCAGAAATAACAGGATTGTGAAGTAAAGAAGGGCGAAGAAGAAGTGATTATTGGTAGTGGCCAAAACTTATTGACTGCCAACTCGTATTTAAATTTATTCTATTATATTAAAATATTAAAAATAAGGTAATAGTTATTAGTTGTGATTTGATATATAATTGATTATATTAAATCATTTATTCTCCGATCAGATTAATGTTTATGCTCACTGTTTACTTTCAAATGAATACGATTTCAAACAACTCTACACCCAAATACACAGGTTTCAACTTTCAAAGTTTACTAGCAAGTACATAGGATTTCAATTTTCAAAAAAGCTTACTAGCAAACACATAAGATTTCGAACAATATTACTATGCAAAATACACAGGAATTCACCTTCAAAGCTTACTCACCAAATGCATAGGTTTCCAACTTTCAAAAAAGTTTGCTAGCAAATGCATAGGTTTTCAACTTTCAAATGCTACTAACACAAATGTACAATTCACATTGTCCTACTTTCGAATGCATGAGTTTTCAACTTTCATAAAGAAAATTTACTACCAACTTTTAAAAAGTCTACTTACCAATGTATAGGATTTCAAATTGTCTTACTTAGTACCAAATTCACAAGATTTTAACCTCACAATTATTCATTTATCATCATCTCTCTATTGTTATCATGAAAATAAAATAATATTTGTTCACTCACGTAATTCCATTGTACTGGCAACTCAACAAGTTCCTTCTTTTCTGCATGTGTTTGAAAAGGAAATAGCCTTGAAATCTTAGATCAATATTCTATTATATTAAAATATTAAAAATAAGGTAATAGTTATTAGTTGTGATTTGATATATAATTGATTGATTATATTAAATCATTTATTCTCTGATCAGATTAATGTATATGTTTATGCTCACTGTTTACTTTCAAATGAATACGATTTCAAACAACTCTACACCCAAATACACAGGTTTCAACTT